AATTTTTCAGGAATTCGATGACTTGTCGGATAATTCAAAATGTATTTTCAAATAACAAATTTTAGAAATTTTGTAAATTTGGAGTTTCTGTCATTTCTAAACTAATTAATCGATTTAGTTCCTTCTTAAATGTGACCACGGTCATCAGCCATGAAATAACTATTTTGAATAAAAGAATAAAATAATCTGGACCTGGAGTGAACATGAATTTTTTTTTTTATTATTATAGTGATTGTCGAGTAAAATTGTACATTAATATGTACAAAAAAAGATTTGATAGGGCGAAAATCATGATAACTTCCGGAATGTTGGAATAAATTGTTTTCTATGTATGATACACCTCAGTCTAAACTGCTAAAAAATTCAATTTGATCCAAAGAGAAGAATGAAATCTAAACCAAAAAAATCATTTCAAAGAAACTGATGTTCTTGAGTGATGATAACAAATTCTCAAGTCAAGAAATTATTATTGACCTGAGTAAATTTTTATTGGTTCACAAATTTGTAATTTGGACTTGAAAAAACATCAATCCTTCGGAATGGTTTTTGTTGAAAGTTTAATCACTATAGCAAACATGCGTACTTATATATTTCTATAATCATCCGACTTCAATATGTTACTCATAAATACCAATAAGGATTATTGTAATACTGCCTACTCGTAAGTAGTCAGTCTTTCTTGAACCATTAAGTTGTTACTACGTATAATATTTTCTTCTTATTAATAAATTGTATTTGAAACTATTTGCTAAATATTTACACGTTTATTTATAATATTATTCCTATGAATAATCAACAGGTTATGGCCCCAGTGTGCATACCTACACTTTTATAGTAAATAGTGTTTTACGTTGTATATTTTTAGCGGTCACGCGTTGTTAACGAGTGTTTTTTTTTGTTATTAAAATGGCGTCAAATACGGGATCGTCAGTTTCGCGAATTGAATTGTTGTCGACGGAAAATTACGACACATGGACAATACAAATCGAAGCATGGCTGAGGAGAAATGGTTTATGGAAATACGTAGACGGAACAGCAGTGAAGCCGGCACGTGGTTCATCAGCAGTACCAACGGAAGAACTCATAAATTGGATTGAAAAAGATGATCAGGCGAGGACAGAACTCATTCTGTCGATTCAACCACGTTTATTGAAGGACATTAAACATTGCAAGACGTCGAACGAGATTTGGATTAAGTTGCAATCGGTATATGCGTCAACTGGACCTGCAAAAAAGGCGGCATTGCTGAAGCAACTTATTCAGCGAAAAATGTGCGAGGGTAGTGATGTTAGAGATCACATGGATGGCTTCTTCGAGACTACGGACAAGCTCGTAAGCATGGGAGAGGTGATAAGCGACAATCTACAGACTGTCATATTATTGAATAGTCTCCCTCCATCGTATTAAGCTTTTCGTACAGCAATAGAGACGCGGGACACACTACCGTCTCCGGAAGAGCTGAAAGTAAAAATCCTTGAGTACAATGAATCCACGCGGGAGGAAAGTGGAAATGACGTTGTTGCAATGGCGTTTTGCCCAAAGAAAGGTCACGTACAATCGGGCGGGAAACGTGAGTTCAGTTGTTACAAATGTGGGGGAAAGGGACATAAGGCTAATGCCTGTCCAAGCAAGAAAGTAAATAAATCCCAAAATAAGCCCAATGACTTGGCAAATAATGTTGATGCGGCCTTCACAGTGAGTCATACTGTAATGAATTCTGATTGTGTGTATAAAGCAGCAACCAAAGCTGCCAATAAGCCATGGGTTTTAGACAGTGGGTGTACGTCACACTTATGTGGAAGTGATGTGTTGTTCAACACGATAAATAAAGCGCCATACATTAGGTTGAACCTTGCGAATGATGCGACAACTGAAGTTAAAGGTAAAGGTGAAGTGTGTATATCAGTAAATAGTGACAAGGGTCAAAAACTGATAGAATTTCGCGATACTTTGTATGTGCCTAACTTAAGATCTAATTTAATATCAGTTGCAAAAATCACCGATAAAAATTTTGAGGTCATTTTCAAAAAGGACAGTGCGATTGTGCGTAGTTCTCAAGGAGATGTGATGATGATTGCCGATCGCAAAGATGACCTGTATTATGTGCGCGAAAGTGTCGAGTGTGCGGAAACTGCAATTAGCAAACTCGATGATCAATTATTATTGTGGCATGAGAGACTTGGACATTTGAACGGTAAAGATCTTGTAAAATTAGTAAGTGACGGGTTTTTACCAAAAATAAATGTAAGTAACGTGGATCGGTTATCTAGTTGTGAGGTGTGCCTAAAGGGCAAAATGACGGCTTTGCCTTTTCGCAGTAAACATGAGAATTGCAAAGAGGTATTTGAAATAGTACATTCGGACGTTGTTGGTCCATTTAGAACCGAATCCACCGGTGGAGCAAAGTACTTCGTTATTTTTGTTGATGACCGTACGCGGTGGTGCGAAGTGTATTTTATCAAGCGCAAGTGTGGTGTTTTTGAAGCATTTAAACTATATCAACAATTAGTTGAGAGACAGACAGGCAAAAAGATTAAGTGTTTACAATCAGATAATGGTCGCGAGTATTGTAATACAGAGTTTGATAAGTATTTGGCCGACCAAGGTATTACGCGGCGATTGAGTGTACCTTATACTCCCCAACAGAATGGAGTAAGTGAACGAATGAATCGTACACTGTTGGATATGGGTCGGTGTTTATTACTATCATCTGGAATGAGCGGGATGTTTCGGTCTGAGGCTATAGCCACAGCGTGTCATATTAGAAATCGTTGCCCTACAGCCAGTTTAGACTTTGCAATTCCGTATGAAGTGTGGACGGGTAAACGAAATAATATAAATTACTTCAAAAAGTTTGGATCAAAAGGGGCTGTGTTAAATAAAGAACCAAATAAAGATAAATTGGCTCCGAGGTCCACAAGTGGCATTTTTGGAGGATATCCGAGAGAACGAAAAGGTTTTCGCGTGTGGATTCCAGATGCACGGAAGTTAATTGAAGCGCGAGACGTGAAGTTCAATGAGGATACATGTAATGGTCCTTGGGATACACAAATTTTTGACGAGTGGATAATGCCAAACGATGATCACAAAAAGACAGTCGAATTATCGCCGTAGTGACCGCATACCTCAATGGGTCATTGGAAGAAGAAGTGATCATAAAGGTACCGGATATGCTGATCGAGATGTTGCAGAGAATCATCGCCAGTGATAAATGTGATATAAAAGTGTGTGCGCGTGCTAAAGAAATGTTACACCAACTAAAGAGTGGTGGAAATGCGTGCAAGCTGAAAAAGGCACTGTATGACCTAAAACAGGCTGGCAGACAGTGGTACGCGACGTTAAGTGAGAAATTAGGACAAGTTGGCTTTAAAATAGCAAAAAATGAACCTTGTTTATTCTTTCGAAAAATTAAAAATTGTATAACTTTAGTATTAGTGTATGTAGATGATATTCTTGTTGCGTCGAATGATATGAAAGAGGTAGATAAGTTAAAACGAGATTTAATGGAATCTTTTGAGTTAAAAGAATTAGGTCTTGCAAAATATTGTCTTGGTTTAGAAATAGTTCAGTATGAAGAGCAAATAGAGCTCTCTCAATCGGGATATATCGCTGGATTGCTTAAACAATACGGTATGAATGACTGTAATCCGGTTGCAACGCCTTCCGAATTAAATGTACATTTTGAAAATGTAAGCGAGGATGAGTCACATGAAGAGTATCCATACCGCGAATTAATTGGTGCTCTTATGTATATATCTGTAGCGACTCGACCTGATATTTCGAATACTGTCTCTAGGTTAGCTCAATTCGTTGAAAGGCCGCGTAAATGCCATTGGTTGGCTGCAAAGCGTGTGTTGAGATATTTAGCTGGAACTATAAGTTCTGGACTTGTTTATAGTAAAGTTGATAAGGCTTTAATTGGTTATTCAGACTCCGATTGGGGTGGGTGTACGATTGACCGAAAGTCTTATTCAGTCTATGTATTTTTGTTCAGCGGCGCGGCTATATCTTGAAAATCTCAAAAACAACGTACTGTTGCTCTGTCGTCGACCGAGGCCGAGTATGTGAGTCTAGCAGAGGCTACGAAAGAAGCTTTGTATTTACAAAGTTTGTTTTGCGAATTAGAACTGAGTGATTGGGCAAAAATGAATATTTTTGTAGATAACTATGGCGCACAATGTTTAGCTGTTGATTCCATGTTTCATGCGCGAACGAAACATATTGATATAAAATATCATTTTATACGCGAAGCAATTACGAATAAGTTGATAAATGTATGCCATGTATCGACGAGTGAAATGATTGCTGATGTGTTAACAAAACCATTACCTCGATTTATGCACGAAAAATGTATGGATGGTTTTGGATTTGGTTACTGATTACAAGATTAATTAATATTTGAGAGTATGCAGTTTGAGAGGGTGTGTTGAAAGTTTAATCACTATAGCAAACATGCGTACTTATATATTTCTCTAATTATCCGACTTCAATATGTTACTCATAAATACCAATAAGGATTATTGTAATACTGCCTACTCGTAAGTAGTCAGTCTTTCTTGAACCATTAAGTTGTGACTACGTATAATAATTTCTTCTTATTAATAAATTGTATTTGAAACTATTTGCTAAATATTTACACGTTTATTTATAACATTATTCCTATGAATAATCAACAGTTTTCTTAGTTAAAGATTTTTATTCTTGGATCAAATTGAATTTTCTAGCATTGTAAAAAATGATCCAGATAAGAACAAATCGATCATACGAAAAAATAAGGAACTCCTAATCAAATTATCAGCCTTGGTTAAAAAAAAATACGCCTGACATTCAAAATCACATAGAAAAAATGTAAACTTGAGCCAAGAAAATTCGTAGGAAGAGCTAAGTTGTTTTGGAGCAAAAAAAATCTAAAAACGGTTAACCCTACCGGTTATCCCTGCAATTTCCCGCTAATTCCATATCTCAGCGCTTAAAACTGCACTTAAGACGTTTTTGAGATTTTCAAGCTCTAAGACGCTAATTTTTGAGCCTGCCGCTATATCACAAAATCTTCTTAGTTTTTTCGAGATTTCTCAAAATCTAACGGTCCGAATTGGTCCCAACTTACAGGAAATCTAAGTTTAGCGAAGTTTTTTTGAATGACTCCAACCTCGATCAAATCGGTCCAGCCGTTTAGAAGTTATAAGAGGTTAACACACACACACACACACACACACACACACACACACACACACGCGCGCGCGCGCGCGGACGACGGACGACGGACACGCGGACGACGGACACACACGGACGACGGACACACACGACACGACACACACGACGACGACACGACACACGACGACGACACACGACGACGACGACGACGACGACACGACGACGACGACGACACGACGACGACGACGACACGACGACGACGACACGACGACGACGACGACGCACGCGACGACGACGACACGACGACGACGAC